CGAGAAAGATTTTGCTTTTTTTGCTGTCAGATTAACAGTCTTCGCTAGTTTGATGTTTTTTGTCCAGTCGAATAGATTGAGCCAGTTGGACAATTTGAACTATTGGAACCAATTCAGCTTCATTATGCAGTTGAAAACCTGTAGCTAGTTTGACCATTTGAGCTACCTCAAGCAGTTAAGTATTGTGCAACTTGTGCAAATCTACAGCAACGAAGTCAGTGTAGGAACACTCATTGTCTTCGGCACCACCAACCATTACATCCAAAGGTATCCTCATCTCTCTACCGAACATGAGCTCGAAAGGGTTGTGCCCCGTGGAGGAATGAACACTACTGCGATAGGCCATCATGCAGAGATCAAGGTGCTCATCCCATGTAGCTGGATTATCTTCCACTCTAGCTTTTAACATGCTCCTTAAGGTTTTGTGCAGGTTTTCTACTTGGCCGCTGCCCTCAGGGGTGACACGCGCTGGTGCGCGTTTTGTTAACACTCAGTAGCTGGCACATATCCGAGAATATTTTAGACTCGAAATTACTTCCGTTATCGCTATGAATGCTGTCAGGCACACCAAATCTGCCGATCCAGTTCCTTACAAGCACCTTTCGCAGGTTGTGCCACGCTGGTTGGACACTGCAAACACCTCAGCCCATTTAGTAAAACTGCACTGAACTGAGAGAATGCTGTTTTGGGTCTGTCCTCTTCTTTTACTTGCATCTACCAATACCCAGACGCCAAATCCAGACAGGAGAACCATTGGCCACCACCCAGCGCTTCCAAGACATCCTCAGTAACGGTATTGCATCTTTCTATGTACACCAATTCAGTTTGCAGTAATCAATGCACATACGGTAACTTCCATCATGTCTCCTTACAACCGAACTACTCCAGGGGCTCTGTGACTCATCAACTCTACCATTCGCTAGCGGCTCGTCCAGCTGTTGATCTATTATCTCCTTCTGGTGCAGTGGTATGCGACAAGGAATATGCTTAATGGAAGCACGCTCATTACTGTCAATTTCATGTTCCATAATATCTGATTAACCTAAATCACAATTATTAATTGCAAATATGCCCTCATATTCGCCTATCAGTAGAAAAAATTGCCTTTTCTGCTCCTCAGAAAACCCATCTAAACTTGACTAAATAACTTTTGCCCTTCTCTCTTTACTGCTTGTCATCACCAATATTTCTGTCTATAACTCAACAGAAACAGGGGGATCTGGTCGTGACGTGACAATTCTGTCGGAGAAGTTAATCACTCTAGACCAGTCTCCCCTGCCTTTCGCACTACTAGGAAACCAGCCATACATATCTCACAAGTCCCCTGTACCTCTCTTAACCCCTCCAGGATTTAAGGGCTTCCGGAATTCTCTTCGTAACCTCCAAACTTATCAGTTGTTCAATACCCGGTTCTGGCTGTAAATCTGCATATCAAACAATTCTACAAACACTTAGGATAAGCCAAACCTAACCAAACAAAACCCTAACCCTAAGCAACCCAAACCCTAACTCTAACCCTAACCCTAACCCTAACCCTAACCCTAACCCTAACCCTAACCCTAACCTTAACCCTAACCCTAACCGTAGCCCTAACCCTACTCCTAACCCTAATCCTAACACTAACCCTAAACCTAAACATAAACCTAAACCTAAACCTAAACCTAAACCTAAACCTAAACCTAAACCTAAACCTAAACCTAAACCTAAACCTAAACCTAAACCTAAACCTAAACCTAAACCTAAACCTAAACCTAAACCTAAACCTAAACCTAAACCTAAACCTAAACCTAAACCTAAACCTAAACCTAAACCTAAACCTAAACCTAAACCTAAACCTAAACCTAAACCTAAACCTAAACCCAGCCCCAGCCCCAGCCCCAGCCCCAGCCCCAGCCCCAGCCCCAGCCCCAGCCCCAGCCCCAGCCCCAGCCCTAGCCCTAGCCCCAGCCCCAGCCCTAGCCCCAGCCCCAGCCCTAGCCCTAGCCCTAGCCCTAGCCCTAGCCCTAGCCCTAGCCCTAGCCCTAGCCCTAGCCCTAGCCCTAGCCCTAGCCCTAGCCCTAGCCCTAGCCCTAGCCCTAGCCCTAGCCCTAGCCCTAGCCCTAGCCCTAGCCCCCAGCCCCAGCCCCAGCCCCAGCCCTAGCCCTAGCCCTAGCCCCAGCCCCAGCCCTAGCCCTAGCCCCAGCTCCTAGCCCTAGCCCCAGCCCCAGCCCTAGCCCAGCCCCAGCCCCAGCCCCAGCCCTAGCCCTAGCCCCAGCCCCCAGCCTCCCAGCCCTAGCCCTAGCCCTAGCCCTAGCCCTAGCCCCAGCCCCAGCCCTAGCCCTAATTAGGTTCCCGGAGTGTTCACTTTGCCCACAATTTACCCTAATTAGCATAAATTTTTTTCCTAGCAAGATTAAGAGTTTTCCTTCTAACTATAGAATGTTTGGTTCTCATCCGACGTTCTGTGTAAGTTTTAGAAGATATGGTTAAAAGTCTTTTAAGTTATAGTCCTTCAAAGTTTGAAATGAGGGCAAGTCAACAAGATCGGGAGAATCTATGAAGAAAGCGTTATTTATTCACCAAATTTTGCCTGCAAACGTTTTAAACAAGATAAACAATCACCACGGATACCCTTTGGCTAACCCTGGCGAGTTAAAAATCTCCAAACTTTGCTCGGGAAAAAAATGACGGCCAGGTATACGCTCTACACATCACCTTGTAAGACTGGTCGAAGAAATTTGGACTATAAGGTAAGGTGATCATCCATGAAAATTACATCTCTCTGTAAATGCGAGGGTTAGAGTTGAAATTTACACAGGAAGTAACTATGTAAATTTTGTGTTATCACCGTAAGTTTCATGTTATTTCCACGCGGGAAACTCTTTTTAGAGTTGCTTTTGTACGGAGGACACTGTTCGAAATATTGTGGGGGCAAAGCTATTCCACATTTTCTGCTGAAGCAGTCGTTTTCTGCAAACATTCTTTAAAAGTTTTTACATTATTAGAAAGCTCTTTTGCATGGGCTTTACATTGGCATTTCTTTAACTCCTAACCCTTGCATTGTTTTGAAGAAATTCTCTGATAAAGAAAGTGAATGGGGCAAGAGCGCACTTTTTAGGTTGTCATAAAAAAAAAAAATCATATAAAATCGATATTTTAATATAACATCATTACTTCCTGATACAATAAAGACAAATAGTAGGAGCAGCTTTTCAGAGGTTTTTGAGTTCTTTAATGGAACAGTCACAGAGATATAGAGGTCTAAATCATGCACAAGTTCAAAGTGCCAGTTTTGTCATTTTAAGGACATGGTTGACTTAATGAGACCACAACTACCCTTTAACCTTAGTGAAATACAATGAAACTCTATTGAAGTATTATCATATAATGGGACTTTAACTTACTTATAATTCGTGATATTCCATCAAGCGTAAAGAAGGATATAGAGACTTCAAGCTCCTTTAATGGAACTCAAATACATTTGCATATTATGGTCAACTTTAAGAGGGCAAAACTATTCTTTTGCTTTATCAATCTCAACGAAACTTTAACATAAGATGGTACATAAATAGAAATTAAACATACTTGAAATTTATGTAACTCCAATAAATCTACAAGAAAATATTTAAATTTGAAGATACCGTCATGATTTGCATAACATAGTCACTTTTCGTGCATCTGACACGAGGTCACCATTTCCACAAGCCTTCGACTGGTAAGTCATGCTTTTTTGATGCTCCGTTATTCTTCTTGTTTAGCACCCTTAGAACACTAGGCAGAAGCAATCAAACTATTGAAAGAGATGTCTAAGGTGGTCGGGCAGCTTTCTTGAACATTTTCTTGCAATGGAAAACAGTTGCTTCTTCGTAGGCTTTGGTCAAAGGAAGATAAGAAAAGAAGTCACCACTCCAAGGTGAGATGCAGAATCCCTGGATGTGGAATGATAGCAGGCGACATCAAGCGTCATCTTAAAGTGCATGTTGGTAAACAGATCGAGGAGGAAGATGTGCCGAGGGCTGCAGCGATTATGAAGGCAGGGAAGGCTACAAGGGGGCCAAGACAGGTGAGGGGGAAGAAGGAAGTGGAAACTCCGGGGAGATTACGAAAATGGTGCCCGGTAGACGGCTGCAACACAATCACCAGCTATCTTAGTCAGCATCTGGTAAAGGCACACAGGTTAAAGAGCTCCCATACCCAGTATAGGGTCCATCTCAAGGAGGCTGAAAGGTATACTGGTATCCAAGAGTTAGACTGCCTGCTCACTCTACCATCCAAGGCACCGTCATCCAAGCTGACATCTCCGTCATTCTTAACTGCTCAACCTAATCCACGTGAACACAAAACCAACGAAGATGAAGAAATAGAAGAGACCCAAGGAATAGAAGAGACCCAAGAAGAAGAAGAAGAAGAAGAAGAAGAAGAAGAATGGCATCCAGAGGGAGAGGTGGAGGAGAGTGACGAAGATTCTGAAGATGCTCCAACCATAAAGATCAGGAAGGAGGAGTATTACTCAGCGACAAAATTTACGAGTTACCGCCACCAATGGCTCTCTGGTTTCTTTAAGTACCTGAAGAGCCCATCAGCGGGCTACAAAAAGCTTGAGAATAGACTCCAGCACGTGGGCCAGGTGGAGAAGCTCTTGGAAACGCTGGACCCCAACGGTAAGGACATCACCATCCTAGGGGAGGAATTTGGAGATATCGTATGGAACAAATGGGTCAGCCCACACCTTTCTGAGGGAACGAAGGCACCAGGTACGTTGGCCTCCTATTTGACCAGTCTGGAAAAGTTTTTCGTTTTCGTCACGTCCGACAAGTACCAAAGAAAGGAAATGCCGCCGCTGCATGGCAACGATTTGGACGTGTTTAAGGGGACCATCAACACCCTGAAAGGCTGGCGTGTAACTATCGATAACGAAACCCAGGATGTTCAGCACCGGACCCATCTCAGAGAGTGCGATACTCTCTTGACGGAAACAGACATCAACCTTCTCTCTCAATCAAAAACCCTACATAGATGATATGAAGGCCATAACTCAGGCCAAGGCAGGAAAAAGGCTCTCCATACAACAATTTACAAATGCTCGCGATCTTCTTCTGGTAAAACTCGCGCTACTTGTGGCATCTCGACCTGCCCCGCTAGAGAATGCTCTTCTTGAAGACTACCAAAAAGCGCAGGAGAAGGACGGAAACAGGGTCATGTTAATCCCGAAGCATAAACGATCTAGAGAGGGACCAGCACCACTTGGCATGGATAAAGAGGTGCAAGATCTCATGGAGGTCTATGTCAATAAGATCAGACCACACTTTGTTGCAAAAGATGTCAAACACCTCTTCGTTAAGAGTGACGGCCAATCATTCAACAGAAATACCATTGGAAAAAGATTCTCTGCTTTCTTCGAGAAAAGTGGCGTGAGGACCGACAGACGCGTAAGCCAGACTGCTGTAAGAAAGTTTGTAACAACGGCAGCGAGAAGGCATGCCCCAGAGGAGATGTCGAATATCCAGAGGGTCTTGTGCCATAGCGAAAGGTCATCTCGCAACAGTTATCTTAGGTTGGACTTGACAGAGACGGCCTCACACGCCATGAATATCATAAAGAAAGTCACCTCCAGTGAAACAGAAACTAAAACAAAGAAAGAAACTCTTGCTGAAGAACTTCCCGAGAAACAAATAAAGAAAGGTGGTGAGGAGAGTGACCAAAGTGCAGACGTTGATCTTCCTGGGCCAAGCCAACTAGCGTCTGAAGATGACGAAACCTCCACAAATGTTATCCCACCAACAGTCTCCCCTGGCAAGGTTTCAAGTCTGACAGAAAAACAGAAAGAAGCCATTAGGGAAATCTTTTCATCTGCCATTGAGAGAGGGGAGAAACAACAAATGATGGCTGTGCGAAATAAAATGTCGACCACACTAATCTTAAGGAAAATGACTACTTCTATCTCAAAGGTAAAACAGGTAACCAACTTCGTCAACTACCTAGTGAGCAAACGACCCTTTGAGGTGGAAGGTTTGCCAACCCAAGCAATTGAAGTTGAAGAATGGCTTGATGACCAATCATCATCACTAAAATCTGATCAACGGATGCACTGGGATCAACGAGATACACAAGCGATGGAAAGAGAGTTCCGTAGGTTTCGAAAATGTCCACCTAAACAACAACTAAGGCAGATGTTCACGGTGAATGGACGCCTAGCTGCAATCTGTAAAAAGGAGGGCTTCAGTCGGTGCTACGAGAAGGTAAAGAGCATTATGCGGAAGAAAAACAAGCTGTGAGCACAGCTACACGTCATAGTGAAAATCACTGCTTCTCTGTAAATAACTTTGTTCGTGTTGCTTCCGTTCCTTTTACTAAGTTAGTTCAAGCCGTTGCGTTTCTTTGTTCATGTTGCTTCCATTCCTGTTACTAAGTTAATTCAAGCCATTGCATGTCTGTAAATAAGTCTGTTCATCTTGATTCCGTTCCTATTACTAAGTAAGCTCAAGACGTTGCGTTCCTGTAAATAAGTTCCTTCATGTTTCTTTGTCAGACGTTCTCCTGGCAACAATGAGTTGGGCTGGTTACCCGATGATACCCTCTGGTATTGTGAGAGTTTGTCAGGGATCAAACACAAGCTGGGGTAGCCAATCCCTGGGGAGTGCCCCACAAACTTTCACAGTCCCAGGTAATACTCTTCTCGTTTGAAACGGCAAGAGGGGGGACCAGGAAACCACTTATCACAACAGTACAACCCAGTCCTCGTGTTATGACTATGGCCAAACTTATAAGCGTGCTTACTATGTTAAACTTCATTCAAATAAACTGAAATTTACCGCTCCAGCAGATTAATCCATTGTTAAACAGTGTGCTAGATTTCAAAGATACACCATGAAGGGTTCCAAAGTTACAGTGGTCCTTATGACTGGACCTCCCATTACTTGATCATGTTGCCAGTCAATCTGAAACAAAAAGATTAAAGTTGTCCAATCCGATTAATAAATTTTCCCTCTAAAAGTACACGTCAAACACAATAACTCCTGCAACTTTCAGCGAATTCGCCCATAATAAAAGAAACCTAAGACAAAAAATCCCTCGATCTGAAGTGGGCAAGACAACACAGAGGGCCAGACAACAACAGGTGAGGGCAGGACAACACCCTATGTGGGCAGGACAACAACGTGTGAGGGCAAGACTACATTCGGACAACACACAAATGGGGGCCAGACAACCAAAGAGGGCAAAACAACATTTTTGTGGGGGGAAAACAACACACAATGGGGGCAGATTAACGCAGGAATATAGCCCTAGCCCTAGCCCTAGCCCCAGCCCCAGCCCTAGCCCTAGCCCTAGCCCTAGCCCTAGCCCTAGCCCTAGCCCCAGCCCCAGCCCCAGCCCCCCTAGCCCCAGCCCCAGCCCTAGCCCTAGCCCTAGCCCTAGCCCTAGCCCTAGCCCCTAGCCCCCTAGCCCCTAGCCCTAAGCAATTACTGGTGTACCCTTACAGCATCTGACTGGAATTTCCGACTTACGCTGTTTTAGCATTATCGAATAGAAAAACATTTTTTTTATTTGTTTACAATAAAACCGGGCTATTGTGAGTTAAAGCTCACAAAAAAACGTTTTCGCCTTTTGCTTTCTAAAATACGCTGCTTTCAGCTTTATCGCACCAAAAATTTGTTTCCAGCGTAACTGCATCGAAAAAAAGGTTTCTGCCTGTTTGCAGCTAGTCACCCTAACTAGAACTTGATTTCACTGAACCAACGTTTTCGTTTGTTTTCGGCTAAGTTACCACTGTCATCAGCATTATCTTTCTGCGAACAACGCTTTGGACTCTTTTGTTACTAGACTACGGTTTTACACGGTTTATCGCACCGAAAACATGTTTTGGTCTGTTAGCAACTAAATTGGACTGCTTTTAAGCTTTATCGCACGGCAAAGTAGCGTTTTCCTTTTAACTGATAAAATACGCTGCTTGTTTTGGCTAGCTTCTGCTGTTTTCAGCATCATCTTTCTGAGCACAAGCTTTTCCTCTTTGTTCGTTACCAAACTACACTTTTGACGCTCTATATTACCGAAAGAATGTTTTGGTTTGTTGGCAACTAAATTAAGTTGCTTTGAGCCTTATGTCACAAAAAAAGCGTTTTCCCTTTCTGTGTTTAAAATATGTTGCGTCTAGCTTTATTGCAGGGAAAATATGTTTTGGTTTGTTTCCGGTAAAATTGGGCTGTTTCCATTGTTATTGCACCGGAAAAAGGTTGTCTGCCAGTTTGCATTGAGTTACTTTGATTTTTACTTGATTTTACTCAAAACAACGTTTTTGTTTGTTTTCGGCCAAGGTACGCTGTTTTCCCTTTTTAATTGGTAAAATACACTGCTTTCAGCTTTTATTGCACCAAAAACATGTTTTTGCTTTGTTTACCGTCAAATTGGGCTTTATCCAGCGTTATTGCACCGGTAAATGGATTTCCTTTCCAGTTTTTTGCGAATGACGCTGACTTTTACTTGAGAGCACTCAAAACAACGTTTTAGCCTGTTTTACCTAAGTTACCCTGTTTTCAGTATTATCCTTCTGAGAGCAACCATTTTCTCGGTTTTGTAACTAAACTACACTTTTGACGCTCTATCTTACCGAAAACATGTTTTGGTTTGTTGGCAACGAAATTGGGCTGCTTTGAAATTTAGATCACAAAAAAGAGCGTTTTTCGTGTCTAAAACACGTTGCACTCAGCTTTATAGCACGAAAAACATGTTTTGGTTTGTTTGCCGTCAAATTGGGTTGTTACCAGCGTTATTGCACTAAAGAAGAATTTCTGCCAGTTTTCAGAGGCTTATGGTAATTTTTACTTGATTTTACTGAAAAAAACGTTTTCGTTTGTTTTCGGCTAAGTTACGCCGTTTTCAGCATCATGTTTCTGAGAACAGGCTTTTCCTTTTTTTCGTACCTAAACTGCAGTAATGACGCTTTATCTTGCCGAAAACATGTTTTGGTTTAGTTGCAGCTAAATTGGAAGCTTCGAGCTTAATGTCACAAAAAGCAGCTATTTAATTTTTCGTTGGAAAACACGCTGCTCTGAGCTTCATAGCACTGAAAATATCTTTTGGTTAGTTGGCAACGAAATTGAACTTCTTTGAGCTTTCTATCGCAAAAAACAGCGTTTTTGCTTTTTCTTGGCTAAAACACGTTACACTCAGCTTTATAGCACAAAAAAATATTTTGGTCTGTTTCCCGTAAAGTTGTGTGGTTTCCAGCGTTATTGCACCGGGAAAAGGTTTTCTCTCAGTCTGCAGCGAGTCACCCTGATTTTCCCTTGATTTTACTCAAAACAACGTTTTTGCTTGTGTTTGGCTAAGTTACGCTGTTCCAGAATCCTCCTTCTGAGAACAACCTTTTCCTCCTGAGCAAACTACACTTTTGACGCTCTATATTACCGAAAACATGTTTCAGTCTGTTGGTAAATAAATTGGGCTGCTTTGAGCCTTTGAGCACAAAAAATAAGTTTTGGCTTGTTTGGTGTCAAATCGGGCTCTCTCCAACGTTATTGCACCGGTAATTAGATTTCTTTTCCAGTTTTTAGCGAGTGACCCTGATTTTTATTTGATTAGCCTCAAAACAACGTTTTAGCCTGTTTTTGGCTAAGTGACACTGTCTTCAGCATTATCTTTCTCAGAACAACCTTTAACACGTTTTCCTACATGAAATACGTTTTTGACGACCTAACTTGTCGAAAACATGTTTTGGTGTGTTCGCAGCGAGATGGGGCTGGTTTGAGCTTTGTGTCACATAAAAAGAGTGTGTGTTTAAAATAAGCTACTTTCAGCTATATTGCAGGAAAAACATGTTTTGGTTTGTGTGCCGTAGAATTGCGCTGTTTCCATTGATATTGCATGGGAAAAAGGATTCCTGCTACTTTGCGTAGATTTTTATTTGATTTTTACTTAAAACAACGTTTTTGCTTGTTTTTGGCTAGCTTCTGCTGTTTTCAGCATCATCTTTCTGAGCACAAGCTTTTCCTCTTTTTTCGTTACCAAACCACTTTAGACGTTCTATATTACCGAAGGAATGTTTTGGTTTGTTGGCAACTAAATTAAGTTGCTTTGAGCCTTATGTCGCAAAAAAGCGTTTTTCCCTTTCTGCGTTTAAAATACGCTGCGTGTAGCTTTATTGCAGGGAAAACATGTTCTGGCTTCTTTGCGGTAAAACTGGGCTGTTTCCAGTGTTATTGCACCGGAAAAAGGTTGTCTACCAGTTTGCAGCAAGTCACTTTGATTTTTACTTGATTTCACTCAAAACAACGTTTCCGTTTATTTTTTTTGTTATTTTTAAGTTACGCTGTTTTCAGTATTATTTTTGCAAGAAAAATCTTTTCCCTTTGCTTGTACCTAAACTGCTCTTTTAACCCTTTATCTTACCGAAAACATGTTTTGGGTCTTTAGCAACTGCAGTGGAAGCTGCGAGCCTTATCTCACAAAAAACAGCAATTTGGTTTTTCGTTGCAAAATACGCTGTTTTAAGCTTCATAGAAACGAGAGTATGTTCTGGTTTGTTGGAATCAAAATTTAAGCTTCTTTGAGCCTAATATTACAAAAAACAGCGTTTTTGATTTTTGATGAGAAACACGATGCAATAAGCTTTATAGCACAAACACCATATTTTGGTTTGTTTGCTGTAATATTGGGTTGTTCTCAGTGTTATTGCACCAAAAAAAGGTTTTCTTCCAGTATGCAGCGAGCCACTCTGATTTTCACTTGATTTTACTCAAACAACGGTTTTCCTTTCTTTTGGCGAAGTTACCCTGTTTCAGAATTATCTTTCTGAGGACAACCTTGTTCTCTGTTTTCGTAACCAAACTATACTTTGGACGCTCTTTATTACCGAAAAAATGTTTTGGTTTGTTGGCAACTAAATTAGGTTATCTTTAGCCATGTGTCACAAAAAGGGGTGTTTCTTTCTTTCTGTGTTTAAAATACGCTGCGTTTAGCTTTATTGCAGGAAAAACATGTTTTGGTTTGTTTTCCGTGAAATTGGGCTGTTTCCAGCGATATTGCATGGGAAAAATGTTTTCTGCCAGTTTGCAGTGAGTCACTTTGATTTTTACTTGATTTCACTCAAAACAACGTTTCCGTTTATTTTCGGGTAAGTTACGTTGTTTTCAGTATTATGTTTGCAAGAACAGCCTTTTCCTTTTTTTTCGTACCTAAACTGTGCATTTAAGGAAACATTATGCTGCAAACTGGAAAAAACCTGAATACAACACAATTTTACGCCAAACAAACCAAAACATGTTTTTCCTGCAATAAT